GCCCTTGAGGGTGGGAGCCGGCTGGGGGCCTGAAGTGGCTCGGGCCGGGCGAAAGGGGGGGATTGGGAAAGGGGGGGTTGCGAAATTTGCTGCATGTAGCTGGTTTCGGCCTCACCGAGGGGCCCATTCCTCGATACACGGCCGCCTCCGGCGCCGGGAGGCGCTGGGAAAATCAGCTACGTGAGCTGATTCTCAAACCCCCCCTTTGCTATCCCCCCTTTCGCCCGACCCGAGTGGCTCGTCGGGAGTCTCGAGGTGGGGGTCAGTGCAAGCGGGGTTCAGCCAGAGCGCCCGATCTTGCAGGAGCCTGCAGGGCCAGGGTCGCACCGACCCGGGTTTGGGTGCGGGGTCCTGCAGGATTCTGCAGGATCCTTCGCATCGACCTGGGTTTGGGTGCGGGATCCTGCAGGATTCTGGAAGGCCTGACTGACCCGGGTCTGGATTGACCCGGGTCAGGAGATTCCCGAGCTCGAAGAAGAAAAAACATATACATATCTTTTTGGCGCTCCGCGCGGACTTCTTGGGTCCGCGCTGGGTTCCCTCGGCGGCGCCTCGGGCGCCGCCCCTGGCGCGCTCCGCGCGCCAGGGAGGGGGGTCCAGCGCAGATCCAAGAGATCCGCGCGGCCGGTTTTTTTTTTTCTTCTGCTAGTGGGGGCGAGGTTCGAGGTTTTGCGCTCGGGAAGTTGCGCCTTGGTCTGCCTCTGGAGGCTGTGTTCGGGGCCCAGGGCCGTCAACAAACGGATCGGGGGTGCAAGCGTTGCACCAGGTGGATCCCAGGGGGGGCCCAGGAACGGCTTTCGAGCGGGTTCGGCCTCGTCGACCCCCCCCCCCCTTGACCGATTTTCTGGGGCCCCAGCCAGTTCAGACCCCAGGGCAGCCTCCGGCCGAAGGGGCATCGCCTCCGAGGGGCCGAGAAGTTGCCGTCCCGTCATGGGTGCGGGGCCCGTGGGAGCCCACGGAGGCAAGACGAGGGAGGTAGTGCCGGCGGAGGCTGGTGGAAGTAAGAGGAGATGCCTCTAGGCCTCCTCGATGGGGTTGGAGTAGGGGGTCGGAGGATCGCGACGCGTCGCCGATGCATCGCCGATGCGGCTCGATACGGAGCTTGATTTTCTCCACGCCGACGTCGACGATACATCGCCGACGTCGACGATGCGTCGCCGGTGCATCACCGATGCATCGCCGATGCATCTGCGATGCGGCACGATCTTCCGGCCCCATCTACTCCGACCCTATCTAGGCGGCCTCTAATGCCAACATTTTGGGTTCAGGTTTTTTGGAGCGGGCCACATGCAGATCATCATGTCTGGGCTGTCCTCAGACCTCGAGGCTTCCGCCAGAAAATTCCAGACTGGGGGCGGCGTCACAGCGTTCCCTTCTGGTGGGTACGTGCCATATCTCTGGTCCACTATGCAACATTGCGGCATGCCTCACGATGCTATTGCGCATGCTCACGTAGGCCCCCAGTGCGGCCCAAACACTCAGTGCGGCCCAAACACTCATGCTCGATCGATCTTTTTGCGCTGCACCCGTGCAGTCGGTGGTGCAGCGTGACGGGCCTTCCTGCACAGCAGTCGCAGTCGTCGTTGCTTTGGCAGCCCGCCGTCTTGACCCGCGCCTTGGTCCAGACGCTGGCCAGCGCACGCGCCTCGCGAGCTCCTGCTTCACGGCGACGCTCCCGACGGCGCCTGCGACGGCGGTCCACCCGCAGCATGTGGAGGTCGCCGCCGTCGTCCAGGCCCTGGCCCTCGAAATTGGCCGCCGCCCTCCGCACAGGTCCTTCGGGATGGGCCGCCACTGCCTCCGTCGTGGCCTAGGTGGCGCCGCTCCTGCCCCGCATCGCCGTGGCGCCGCTGCTGCCCCGCATCGCAGGATGAGCAGGAGGAGGGATACGAAGAGGGACACGAGGAGGGACACCGGGATCGGATCGGAAGCCTTCGGGCGGACAAGGCTGGGAGCCTTCGGGCCGCGGCTGCCGGGGGTTCGGAAGGCCCGAGGCCTTCCGAGCCTTCTGGACCCCCTCCCTGGCGCGCGGAGCGCGCCAGGGGCGGCGCTGGAGGCGCCGCCGGGGGGCTCCAGCGCCGATCCGAGAAATCCGCGCGGACCTCCGAGTTTTTATGTTTATGCCACTGTTTCTTCCCCTAGAGAAGGCCCGCCCCGTCTCACTCACTTCCCGGGCTTGCTTCCGATCTTGACTCGCGCTCTTGTGACCACTCTTCGAAGGCGCCTCCCGGGCCCGGGGCGACGAGCGAAGCCGCTCGCGCAGCGGCGGCGACGGCGACGGCGACGGCGACGGCGACGGCGATCGCGATGGCGATCGCGACGGCGACGGCGACGCCGACGGCGACGGCGACGACGGCGACGGCGACGGCGACGACGACGACGATGCTCTTGATTCGCGTTCCTGTGGCCATGCCTCGGCGGCGCCTCCCTGGCCGAGGACGACAAGCGAAGCCGCTCGCGCAGCGACAAGCGGCGCGGCAAGGAGCCCGGGCGGGCCATCGGCCTGCCGCGGCCGCCTCCTCCCCTCGGATCTCCCCGGCCGCGCTCGTCCTCTTCCGTTCCTGTTCCTTATAGATATCAGGAGGGGGAACAACACACAGACACAACTAATCGTCGATTCCCAGGACAATATAGGAAACATGGGAAGTGGGGGGGAAGACAGAAACCCAGAAAATATGGGAAATATGGTGAATACTTTTATTTGTGTGTATTTATTTGTGTGTCCTTGTGCCCCTTGACTTTTCCATTTCTTTTCCTTCTGATAGCTCCTCCCTGTCGCACCCCGAGGCCGGTCGAACGGGCGGGTCGGGCGTTTCGCCAAAGACCCCCGCACAATTTACGATCCTGAAGCTTGACATTTGCAGCATCTTCACGGATGGAGGGCGGCCTGCTGTCACAATGGGGCTCTCACACTAACGCCGCGCAATTTCGTTTCAAAGAATTGCAAGAGTTTCATGTTAGAGGGCAGTCAGATTTCAAACTGTGGTTCTCGCTCTAGCGTCGCGCACATTCGCCTTCAATAGTTACAAGAGATTCATGGATTGAGGGCGCCTCGTTTTCAAAATGTGGTCCTCGCCTTAGCGCCTCGCACATTCGTCTTAGAAGTTTGCAGTTTGCAGGAGTTTCACGGATGGGGGGCGGTTCCTTTTTCACTAGGTGATCATCGCTTCAGCGCCGCGCACAGGCGCCCCAACAGCTTGCAAGAGCTTCATGGATGGAGGGTGGTCTTTTTCAAACTGCGAGTTTCGCCTTAGCGCCGCGTGCATTCGCTTTAAGAGTTTCTAGAGTCTCAAGAATTCTCATGGTTAGCGTACCAATGATGGAGTTTGAGGGCGCAACCGTCGCGTTGGTTCACAATGTTGAAGTCCCAGGAGTTGTGGTCTGGCACAGTTCCTGATGTTCAAACGGTTGTTTGCGAACGGGACATTTCCGTCAGTGAACGTGAACGCGTATCGGATCCTGTGAAGAAGGAATTTGGAAGGAAGATGTATGGCAATCTCTTTGATGAGTCTTGGGCTTTCAGTGGTCCTCCTTTTCCTCCTCCTCCTCAACATCATCACACCCCCCCGCAAGGTGACTCTGAAAGTCGTTGCTCGCACGGGCGAACACACATCCAGTTCAGCCTTAGCTGTGCCAGGCACGTTTTTTTCATGCTGTTTTACACCACTGTAGCATAGCATTGGCAGTGGCTCGCAATTGGTTTGTGTGTGTGTGTGTGCTTGTTCTCTCTTTCTCTATCTCTTTCAATGTTTGAGGGGTGCGGTTACTTTTTTTCAAAATGGCACATAGCGCCTGCGAGCCAAGCTTAGTTCGAGGAATCCATTTCCTTCATTGCGATTCCGTCATGTCGCCCCCGTGGCAATGGCAAGGCTGCGGCCAATGGCCAAAATCTTTTGGCGTTGGCTATGGCAGTTCTGGCAAATATCTTCGGCTTGCTCCCAGGCCAGGGTTTCTGTCTAACCGGAGACGCAGCCAGTCGCAGTCGCAGCAACATGCCAAGTTGACATGCCCAGCATGCGGTTGCAGGAAGCACAATATGTATTCAATATTTGCAAACACTGTGGATCGTGCTGGGCCCCCTATGACTCCACATCGGTTCAACCGCCAGGAGGCGTGTGAGGCACAGCGTTTGCGAATCCTTGGATCTCACCCCCGTTTTGACCCTCCAGGTCAGGTGGGTCAGCAGCAGCATCAACAGTTATTTTTACACAAACTCCGAAGGACCAGGGCGCGGCCTCTGGCTTGAGGGCGTCCGCACTTTCAACATATGAGCATTCAAAGATGGTTGTTCTTTTGGGTAAGGCTGGGGAAAAGACGGGGGCGGCCCGTCACCGTGCGATGGCTGAACTTGCACAGGTACCCAAACCCCTATTCTCCAGCGCCAGGTTTCGGTCGCGCACTCTACGATGCGGGCGGCCGAGAAGAACGTTTCAGCAGCGGTGCAGAGGCATGGCGACTTGGACACTCAGGTGGTGCAGTAGAAGGCATTCATCCGCAGCTGTCTGCGGAGCTCGAGCACTCTGGACAGTGTCATCGGAGTCTGGTTGAAGAACTTCATGGGTTCTGTGCACCAGGGAGTGGTTCCAGCTTGGCGAGCGCCCCGCAGCTCGAGTTCGCCAGCATCGTCGGCGGTTCCTCCACTAAGCAGTTCATCGTCGACTCTGCTGAGCTGCTTGGCTCCGCAGGTGGCCGCGACCCCTTAGCCCTGGGCCGGGCGGGAGTTGGAAAAGAAACGCAAGCAGCTCAAAGACGGCACCAACCAGCTCGCACATAACCTCCTAGCAAAGACGGCGGAGGAAGTTGAGCGCATCGAGGCCGCGCGCAAAGCGCGCGGCGACCGTCTCGGGGAGAAGCGCCAGGTTGCAGGTCGCGGCGCAGCTGCTGAAGGAGCCCTTGGCGGCGAGGCGGCACATTTCCAGCGGCTCTGGGGTACTCGCTAGCAAAGACTCGACGGCGCATTCCCGCAGCTCAGTTCCAAGACAGAAGTGATGCGCGAGGGAGGGTAGCGAATGTCATTGGGTTACAGGAGTCTCCCCCTGCGAGCGCCCCCTAGACGTCCGCGGGGGGGCTGACAGCCGGCGATGTTTCCGACTGCGCTCGTCCTCGAGGTTTCTTTGTCCAGTGCAAGTCGGTTGGCGTCGAAGGCCTTGGCTCCATTTCTGATGGCGACGCTGGCAGCGCGGTTGTGCTTGATATTCGGCTACCCGGAGATGCAGGAGTTTGCCTTCCTGGTGCCGTTGTTGTCTGGTGCGTACGCCCATGCGCTCACAGTTTGCACGCTGGTCACTGGCGCAGCGCAGCGCGCTGCATTTGACCTGCCCGTCTTCACGACGGTGCCCTCGCAGTCTCGCAGCGATTTCCATGGTCGCGATGAGGGGCGCGGGCTGGGTTGGTTCATTTCCAGCCGCGGGCGCGTTGGAGGTGATCAGCAGCTTCGGTATAGACGCCCCGACCGCGCAATCAAGGTCAGGGGCGTGCCGGCATGGGCGCGGCGGCGGGGTGCGAACCTTGGCCCTGGGGCTGTCGGTGGAACTCCCTGCGGGGTGTGATCCGCGTGAGGCGACAATCAACTTGCGCAGGGGGGCGCGGCGGCATGTGTCTCCTCCCAGTAGGGCCGCCCGTGAAATGACCTTCTTCCGGAACAGCATCCGCGCGAAGGGCGAGTCCAAATGGGGGGGGGGCGCCGCCGAAACTGGAGCACGCGGGGGGGCGCGATCCGTTTGAGGGCCGTGCCGACATTGGCGGGGGGGCGCTTTGTGAACCCTGCCGTCCTCTCGGGCCGTGGGTCTCGGCCCAGTGCGCGATTCGTGCCTGTTTACTCCGAAATCAGAGCATTTGTCGGTCACTGCTGTAATGTAACCGTGGCCGGATCGCATCGCCCAGTGAATGTCAGCGGCGATGAGGAGGACGAATGAGGGAGGAGGAGGAGAAGCAGGTTCTTCAGAACCCCTCAGGCATTTCCAAGTCCCCCCGCCCGAGTCGCATAGGAAAGAGGAGAACGCAAGGCACGCGGCAGACGGGGGCGCCAGGGCCCGGCGAGGGCCCCCCAGACGCCCGGCTATATGTATGTACTGTATGTGTGTATGCATGTATGCATGTATGCATGTATGCATGTATGCATGTATGCATGTATGCATGTATGCATGTATGCATGTATGCATGTATGCATGTATGCATGTACGCATGTATGCATGTATGCATGCATGCATGCATGCATGCATGCATGTATGTATGTGTATGTATGTATGTATGTATGTATGTATGTATGTATGTATGTATGCATACATGTGCGTATGTATGTATGTATGTATGTATGTATGCATGCATGTATGTATGTATGTATGTATATATATGTATGTATGTATGTATGTATGTATGTATGTATGGTATGTATGTATGTATGTATGTATGTATGTGTGTGTGTATGTATGTATGTATGTATGTATGTATGTATGTATGTATGTATGTATGTATATATGTATATATGTATGCATGCATGCATGCATGCATGCAGGCAGGCAGGCAGGCAGGCAGGCAGGCAGGCAGGGAGGGAGGGAGGGAGGTAGGTAGGTAGGTAGGTAGGTAGGTAGGTAGGTATGTATGTATGTATGTATGTATGTATGTATGTATATATATATATATATATATATATGAGTAGGCCGGGGGGGCGAACATCGGTGCCGTCATCCCCCTTGGCCGCCCCCCCGAACCTTTGGGGGGTCACAGACCCCCCAGGACTTCCCCGGGCCGCTTCCAAATTGCCCACGACAGGCCACGCGGGCCGTACAGATGAACAAGAATGCCTGAAGAGGCCCCGAACACGCCCAAGAGCGCCCCAAGAGGGCCCGTGAGGGCCCCAAGGGGGCCTTCAAGAGGCACAAATCGGCTCGTTTCCTTCGTACAACGTACGTTTTCGGCATATTCGCTGGCTTCGTCTTCGCAGCGCCCCAGACGCCCCCGCGGAGCCCCAACACAGTCCAAGAGAGACCCAAGAGGCCCCAGACGGCCCAAAAGGGTTGTCCCGTGGGGCTCACGGGCCCCCCCGAGACGGCCCAAGAAGCGCCACAGCCGGCCCAGGAGGCCCCCAAGACGGCCTCAGGGAGGCCCCCGAGGGCCTCGTTCGAAATCATGTTCCCGGAGGCCTCTCCGGGAACATGACTTCCGGGCTCCCAGGACGCCCAAGAGGCCCACAAGACAGCCTCAGCGAGGCCCCAGAGGGCCCGAGATGGCTTGAAGATGGCCGAAGCGGTCCCCAAGAGGGCCTCCAAGAGGCAAGAATCAGCCCAAATGTACATTTTCAGCATGCTCGCTGGCTTCGTCTTCGCAGTGCCCCAACACAGCCCAAGAGAGACCCAAGAGGGCCCAAGACGGTCCAAAAGGTGGGGCTCACGGAACCCCCCAAGACGGCCCAAGAGGCCCCGAAGCGCCCAGGAGGACCCCAAGACGGCCTCAGGGAGGCCCAAGAGGGCCCCGTTCGAAATCCTGTTCCCGGAAGCCTCTCCGGGCATGACTTCCGGGCTCCCAGGGCCACCTATTGGGCTCCAGGACAGCCTCAGCGAGGCCCCAGAGGGCCCGAGATGGCTTCAAGATGGCCGAAGAGGGCTCCAAGAGGGCCTTCACGATGCAACAATCTGCCCATTTCCTTTGTAAAACGTGCATTTTCAGCATGCTCGCTTGCTTCGTCTTCGCAGTGCCCCAGACGCCCCCGCGGAGCGCCAACACAGCCCACGAGAGGCCCAAGAGGGCACAAGACGGCCCAAAAGGGTCGTCCCATGGGGCTCACGGAATCCCCCAAGACGGCCCAAGAGGCTCCGAAGCCGGCCCAGGAGGCCCCCAAGACGGCCTCAGGGAGGACCAAGAGGGCCTCGTTCGAAATCCTGTTCCCGGAAGCCTCTCCGGGAACATGATTTCTGGGTTCCCAGGGCCCCCTTAGAGGGCCCCAGGACAGCCTCAGCGAGGCCCAAGAGGGCCCGAGATGGCTTCAAGATGGCCGAAGAGGGCCCCAAGAGGCAAGAGGGCCTTCAAGAGGCAAAAATCAGCCCGTCCCCGTAGTCAAACATACATATTCAGCATACTCCCTTGCTTCTTCTTCTTCTTCGCAGTGCCCCAGACGCCCGCGAGGAGCCCCAAGACAGCCCAAGAGAGACCCAAGAGGGCCCAAGACGGCCCAAAAGAGTCGTCCCGTGAGGCTCACGGACCCCCCCCAAGACGGCCCAAGAGGCCCCAAAGCCAGCCCAGGAGGCTCCCAAGACGGCCTCAGGGAGGCCCAAGAGGGCCTCGTTCGAAATCATGTTCCCGGAAGCCTCTTCGGGAACATGATTCCCGGGTTCCCAGGACGCCCACAGACAGCTCCCAGAGGCCCCGGACACGCCGAAGATGGCCTCAGGACGGCCGACGACGCCGCCAAAACGCCCCAAGAGCGCCTCCAGAGGCCCCTCCAAAGGGCCCAAGAAGCCGAAAATCAAACATTTTCCGATGGTTTTTGAAGCATTCTTGCGCTCTCCCATGTTCCCCCTCCCCACGATCCCCGGACCGCGTCAGAGATCCTTCAGATCGCTCCAAGACGGCCGAAGAGGCTCCCAAGAAAGCCCAGAGACGGCCCAGGAGGCTCCCCAGATAAGTCAAGAGGGCCTCGAGATCGCCCCAAGAGAGCCCCAAGAGCGACCCAGGAGGGCCCGAAGAGCGCGACATTCCAGAGTCTCTGGCCTGAGAGGCTCCTAGGACGCCCCTGGAGGCCATCAAGAGGCTCCCAAGAAGCCCCGTGATTCTCCCCAGAGGCCCCTCGGAAACCCCAATAGGCCCCCAAGGGGCCCCCAGGGAAGCCCCCTGCGGGCCCCCAAGACACTTCGGTAAATCGTATTTCCCAGATAGCTTTCCGGGAACATGATTCCTTGGGCTTCCGCCCACCGCCCCAACCATGTTTCCAATAGGCTTGCCGACAAGGCCAAGAGGCGCCCCTCTGTAAGCCACCAGAGGCCGCCCTCTTAGAGAGCCGAACAAATCATGCTCCTGGAAAGCTTCCCAGGAAACATGATTCTCTATCTCGGAGTAGGCCCCGGGGGGGGGGGGCGGGCCGCTGCCTGTTCCCCCCATCGGTGCCCACCGGGGGTTGCCGTGGGGGGTCCAGAGCTCCCGAGGCGGCCCGAGCCCGCCCCGAAGCAGGCCACGACAGGCTAAGGGGGTCCCGAGAGGGCCCAAGACGGTCCCACGAGTCCCCGAAGACGCCCAAGCTGCCCTCAAGACAGCCGACGAGGACTCCAACACGCTCCAGGACGGACTCAAGAGGCTCCCCACGAGGGCCCTGGAAGGCAAGCTTCACTAATGTTCCGATGGTTCCTGAAGGATTTAGGCGTTCCCCCGCTTCCCAGCGCTCCCTCACGGCCTCGCTCGGAGGCCCTTCAGATCGCTCCAAGACGGGCCACGAGGCCCCGAAGAGGGCCCCAAGACGGCCCAGGAGTCTCCCCAGACAACCCAACTGTGCCCCAAGAGCTCCCCAAGAGAGGGCCCAGAGGGGGACCGCCAACCGATATTTCGAGGTCTCTGGCCCTAGAGGCCGCCTGGAGGCCCCCGGAGGCCACCAAGAGGCTCCCACGAAGCCCCGTGAGGCGCCCAAGAGGCCCCCAGGAAGCCCCAAGAGACCCCCAAGGGGCCCCCAGGGAACGCCCAAGAGACCCCCCAACACACCCCAACAAACCATGTCCCCAGAAAGCCTTCCGGGGACATGGTTCATCATGGGCCCGCGAGTCTCCGGAGGCTTCGAAGTACCATCATGCTACAGGGGAGCTGTCTGGGAAGTTGATTGGGAGCATGACTGATCGCCTGCTCGCGGCCCTCCGCAGATCGTTTCGCACAAAGTTGCCCCAAGTGCCCTCCTGAACCGACGACGACGACGACGGCGACGAAACGACGAAGTCGACGACGACGACGATGACGACGACGTCGACGACGGCGCGCCCCAATAGGCGACGACGACATTACGACGACGACGACGACGACGGCACGCCCCGACAGGCTCCCCAAGACGCCCCCAAACCCATGCTCCCAGAAGGCCTTCTGGGAATCCGATTCGTACGGCCTCCGCCCCCATACACAACCATTTCGCTCGAAGGCCTTTCGGAATGCAGATTGGCATGCGTGGACTGTGGTCCACTACTTAAGTGGAGCAATGTATTCGTCAAGGCCTGGGGCCTGCTAGAACCTGAGCGCGCGCGAAGCGCGCGCGATGGTTCTAGTATGTGTAAGTATGTATGTATGTGTATATATATAGATAGATACGTATCAGTGTGGGCCCCCAAACAATGTGTTTCTCGCGATATACGTGGTACTATCTATACGGGGCAGCCTGACGGGTCTGTGCATATGGT